TGAATTAATTCTGTCGATCATGAGAATCGTACATCTGAACTTGAAGAAATCTCAGCTCTTATTAAGAACAAGGTTACGAATGTGTACATGAAGTGGTTACCAAAGTGTCTGCGATCTGAACTCCCAACTGTTAGATGTCCTGCACTGGTGTCCTGTCAAGTCTTTGGCAGATGTTCTCAGTGAACCCACGGCTCCTGAAAAAGCTGTTAACTTTTCTCATGGTATGTCCTTATCTATTCTTAAGGCTATTGAGTTTGCAAATCGTCCCTAGAGATGGCGCTGAAGCTAAATTCAGAATAGTGGTGATTTAGAGCAGGCATTTATCAACTCAGTCATCCTGCTGACTTCGATATGAAGGTTCTAAGGTCATCAAGGCGAGGAAGACGGCAATCTGTATTTCGGCTGAGAAGGTAGACGTAGTGAAGCTCCAGGAGAGCACTGCTCTCGCCAATGCGGGTCTCACGGTTTGTAACTTTACTACCTAACTTCAACCCACGTCTCGGTCGTCATATGTATCCAACGAAGAAGAATCAGCAACTCTTTAATGTTATGGTTGAGGTTCAGCCAGAAACTCGTCTTCAACTTCTATATCTTCTGGAGTTGTTCACTCAATCTCATCTAAACTCTGATTGGGCCTCTCGCCTACACAATTCCACTGATGGCAAAGTACTGTTAGAATGCAGAATACATCGTTATCTTACTCCTGGTTATACGCACCTTTGGGTATCCCTCCAAGAGACTGGTTGGAGTACATTGGAGGTAGAATAAATGCTTTACCATCCTTGGTTAGAGTCTACAGACGTCTCACCACTGATGTCGGCTATCGTGCACTTTATCAAAGTACGGAAACAACTGACCATATTATACAGCAATGTCCACGTACCCATGGAGGAAGAGTTCTGCGTCATGATGCTATCGTAGTGCTTTGTTGGAAATACTTTGCAGAACTGAGTTCACTGTTTGGAAGGAGCCACACTTTACAACCAGGGTGGGGCTGAGAAAGCCAGATATTGTTGCTATGAAAAGTCACTCTGCGTACATAATTGATATCAGATTGTTTCGGGCAGCTCAAACCTTGGTATCAGACATCGGCAAAAAAGATCTTACTATGCTGATATAATGATGTGTTGAGTTCTGTTTCAGATTTCACCTCTGTTCCCATCACCAGGGTCTATGTATCCACCCTTACGATTTCTTGAAGAGGCATTTGGGCACGTCAATCTGCTGATTTCCTGTTGGGATTGGGGCTCTTAAAGCGCAAGCTCTCGAGTCTTACGACCAGAGTCTTAAAGGGATCATATATGAAATTTATTAGGTTCAATCAATGACGTCTATAGCTGCCCCCAACACCTGGCTCTTCAGACCGAGACTTGGGTCTTAATGATTGATCATCCCTAGTTGTACTAAGGTTTAAATTTATCTAAGCATTTGAGTTGTACCTCTTTTTTTGCCTTATTGTAAACATATTGTACCTGCGTTCTTATAATCTTACATCTATGTCTGTGATACAACTGCTTTAATGTTATATGTCCCTATTTTTTACTGTATTGAACCTAGTCGTTCTGTAATTTATGACTTTTTTAATTGCTGCTTAAGAACTAAGTTACTCCTATACTTTTATTCTAATCTACATTATGTCTGTATGCATGGCCTGATAATTATAAACTGTTACGCTCTTTGTTGTGTCCTTACATACTTGTTACACATTTTAAACGCTCAAAATAGTTATATTAATATTTATTAGAAAGATAAAGAATCTTGTTATATAAATATCTTACTCTTATATTATACACATTATTATAGGGAGTCCTATCTCCCATACTACTTATTTATTTATATTTTTAATCTAATTCGAGAACATTAATGTTATATAGCCTCATTATTCATTCTGAACTTTTGTATGATTCTTTTATGTGCAATGTATCACCAATTCTTGGAAATAAAAACACATTATTAGCCAAATGCCTCGTCATCTAATTAGTGACGCGCATGAATGGATTAACGAGATTCTGTTGAGCTTGACTTTAGTCTATCACTGTGAAGAGACATGAGAGGTGTAGCATAAGTGGGAGATAGTAATATTGACGTTGAAATACCACCACTTTCATCGTTTCTTTACTTACTCTCGGTCATACGGAACAAGTACTTTTGTGGACCAAAAATCCCAAAAGTTACGGTGTTCTTGAACCAAACGTGTTAGAGTGATGTTTAAACCCGTAAAACGGCTAAATATCAATTATACTCTCGCGTGATCCGTTTTAGAGGACACTGCCAGTCGGGGAGTTTGACTGGGGTGGTACATCTGTCAAATAATAACGCAGGTGTCCTAAGGCCAGCTCAGCGAGGACAGAAACCTTGCGTAGAGCAAAAGGGCAAAAGCTGGCTTGATATCGATGTTCAGTATGCATAGAGACTGCGAAAGCACGGCCTATCGATCCTTTGGGCTTGAAGAGTTTTCAGCAAGAGGTGTCAGAAAAGTTACCACAGGGATAACTGGCTATCATTGCGAAGCAAAATTCGCCAAGCGTCGGATTGTTCACCCGCCAACCGACAACGTGAGCTGGGTTTAGACCGTCGTGAGACAGGTTAGTTTTACCCTACTGATGACATGTCGTTGCGACAGTAATCCTGCTTAGTACGAGAGGAACCGCAGGTTCGGACATTTGGTTCATGCACTCGGTCGAGCGACCGATGGTACGAAACTATTATCCGTAGGATTATGCCTGAACGCCTCTAAGGCCGTATCCTGTCTAGTCAAAGGTGGCAACGATATCTCTAGCAGTTTCGTGAGTCGAAAGACTCGATACAATGTGATTTTATTAGGGGGCAAGTTACACTGTTAACTTATCATCACATGAGCCCCATTTGTCGTATTATATCATTTGTTTATACAAGATTTTATTGTATAATATTAAGATGTGAAGCGGTCGACTATGGGTTTTTATTATTCGATGTCGAAACTCGGAATCGTCTGTAGACGACTTAGGTACCTGGCGGGGTGTTGTACTCGGTAGAGCAGTTACCACGCTGTGATCTGTTGAAACTCAGCCCTTAGCTTGGGGATTCGTCTTGTCAGTTAGACGAGACTCCAATATTTTTTTTTTTTAATTTTTTAAAAACAATACGTATCTAACATCAACACATATAAACTTCTTTTTTTTATTGACTATCAAAACAATACGTATCTCAAAAGTTAACTTCAAAAATTGATCGATCAAGAGATATCATAGAATTTTGTGGGCCAAACATAAATCGCTACCATTTTTTTCATGCCTCTATAAAATCTTAACAGTCACGCCAATTTTGGTCAGGAGACACGTTTACTTTAGTAGTGTCTCATGCACCAAATTTAAATGGCGGTGACAAAGACACTACCATGTCTCTAGTCTGCTTGAAACACAGTCTGTTGAAATTATACACTTTAAAATTGTAATTTCTTCATCTAGAGTAGCGGTAGATACTCAGCGCCACGTCACCTGTACATTCTGTCCCTATCCAATTATTACCCTTCGTCCAACCACCACACTCTCGCAGCTTACAATTACAGTGCCGAGTAACATACTACTCTACACTGAAAAATTCACGCGTGACGTCACAACACAATCTTTAATCAGGAGACAAGTTTACTTTAGTAGTATCTCGTGCACCAAGTTTAAATGGCAGTGACGAAGGCACTACGGTATCTCTATTCTGCTTGAAACTGTGCGCTAAGTTTAAATGACGAGGACGATAATCTGTGTTCTTAAAATGCTAATATCGTAAACGTACATTATTTAAGAAATTACAAAAAAAGCGTGAAATCATTAAATGCCAAGTATTGTATTTCGAATATTAGTCACATTTATTAAAGTAAAATAGATTAATTTTATTTGAAATAGTTTTTAATTGTTTAGAAAATTCAAAAATCATTTTTGATATTTAGAAAAAAAAGGTACCTTAAAGAACATGTGAAAAAGAGAAAATACATTGTGTTAAAAATTAAAAAACATAAAAAAAACACATCAAAATATATTTAGTAATTTTAATTGTAATATTTGAAACTTGAAAACTTGGCGTGGCTATTACGACGCATCAGTAACGTTAAGGCTATAGAATAGACAATGACGTAAATAAAGTTATCAATAATAAATATTAATTACAATTATTTTCTTTAATACGTAATAGCCACCCCAAGTTTTTCAAGTTTTAAAATATTACAATCAAGAAATACGGCAGTGTTTCGTGCGCCAAGCATAAATCACCGCCATCTAGCCCTTACGTTACGACGAGGCACTACCGTATCTCTATACAAATCATAAGATGATTTTTGCAGATTAGAATCTGTAAATTTAAAATTTTTTTCTTATTATAACATAAACATGGGCGGAAATTAAGAATTTGCTCGGAAAGCGATCGTTGACTTTCGATTAAGCGTACTATGAAGTATTATCATTGCTTCATTCATAATATACGAGATTGAAAAAATTTCGTTGCGCAAAAATTGAGTAAAATGAGAGTTTATTCATGGAGCAATCATACGTTTTTTTCTATCAAGTTGGTGATCGGAGTTTTTAATTGCTATGAAGTTCTCTCACTAACAGATTATAAAGTTAGTAACAAGTTAATTTTGCTCAAGCGCGAATATACAAATAATTAAAGTATTTTCTGAACAGATTTATTTTCTTTTAATATTCCTTTTCAGTTAATACGACAAATCAACAATATTTAAAATGAATTATTTTCTTCGGTTTTTTTTTGAAAGAAATTTAGTACATTTAATGACGCAATAAACATAACAACCAAAAACTTGGCGTAACTGTTAAGATTTTATAAAAGCATGAAATTGTAAAAATATTGAAAATATTTAAGCCAATCAATAAATAACAGTCCGGACAGATTCGTATATCGTTATGGAATATATTGAAAGTTCTAGCCTGGAAAATGTAATTTTTAATTCTAAATTAAGATTTGATTACGGCATTAATGAGTTCAAAAAATATTATATTAGTTTACAAATAACTATGGCAATCGCATACTTCCATGAAATGCAATCTAAAGTAATACATAAGGACATCAAACTAGAAAACATTTTGATCAACAAAGAGTGTTTCATACAAATCTGTGATTTGGGATTAAGCAAAATTAGTGATGCACCGTCTGTGCTAGATACCACCGTTGGCAACAATTTCTACGGAACACCACTATATATGGCTCCTGAAATTTCAATATTTTACGAACCAGTAACAACCCATTCAGATGTGTGGGCGTTAGGATGTTGTATTGTCGAAATATTCATAGAAACATGGACATGGACGTTATCAAAACCTGGTTTAGAGAATTTGAAAAATGAAATTTTGAAACGAAAAAAACCTGATTTATCAAAGGTTCCATCAGCGCTCCGAGGAATTTTTAGTGCTTATTTTGATCATGAACCAAAAAGAAGACCTGAAGCTAGTACCTTATTGAATACTCTCAAACATTTCTACAAGAATGATAGATAATATGTTGATATCATTGTGCTTCGGTTTCACTTCCTAGAGTTTTTTATAAATATTACCACTATTATTATAATTGAAACCTTGATCTTATTACTATTATAACATTCTATTGTTCGATTATGCTAAAAATTTATACTAAAAGTCTTGGGAGTTTCATGATAGATGTTAAATAACAAACGCTTATTATTTTCCGGTTTGAACTTATAAAATGCAAAGTTTATGTACCTCTTATTCTTATTATTATTATTATTATAACTTTAATAATTTGATGATGTTACAAATAAGTATTTGATGGTTTTAAAATAATGTTAAATAATAAATTTACAATACTTAAATTAGACTGCTTTAACTTATTAGGATTCAATTCAATAGCCTGTCAGTAAGTTTGTATTGATATTTATCAAGATTATTATCTGTTTAATATAATTAAATACTATATCGATCAAGCGCTGAAAGTATTAAAACTAATATATTGAATTTAATAAATAAGTTTAAATCTATTATTTTAAAAAGAAGGGAAAGCAAAAGACGTTAAGAAAGTAAAGAGAAAAATAAAAATTAAAGCCTGTTATAGTTACTTCAGGAAATATGTCAGACATTTATTTTTTCTAATTAGAGTATTTGATTCTAATTAGAAGATATACAAGTGAAAGAATTCATTGACGACAAATACGCATTGAAATTCATTTCCAATATAAAAGACATATGTCATGACTTTATTCATCCATTACCTGATAAAATTGAAGTAAATTACGATCCACGCGCATTGTGAGAATAATATATTGTTGCATATAGGGAAAGAAAAAAATTATTACCGTGAACAAAGAAGAAAATGAACTGGTATCATATGTCCGTTTTGAAACATAAGAAAAGGTAAAAGACATAGAAAAAGGGCTATTGATGTACATAAGTGAAATCGTTATTCAATTATAAGATCAATCATCATTTTTACTTCCTTTTTTGTTCTGGCACGATTGGCAACCCCGTATTGCCAGAACGTTTCACTGTACAAGACGGATATTTTCTTTTGTAATACTTGACAGACTGTACCAGCTTTTTGAATTTTAATTTCAAATAAAAGTGAAGAGTGTAACTTTAAAATATTCGATTACATAGCGAAAATATTCGTCAATTTAAAATTTTCAACGGATTTTGGAATCGCAATAAGTATTAGCATTGAACAAGTCTTTCCAACGGTTTAATGTCTTTATTGTTACTTTCATTTTCACTCGAGTAAGCTCTCACCAAAATTGTTAATTGTACAAACAATAATTGTATAAACTTTTATACATACATGAAAAAAATTACAATTGTTCTTTATAACAATAGCAAAAATCAAATTCTTACTGTGAAATTAATAACTGGAGGATAATAATTGATAACTATTTTCTCATTAGCAGTATGTTTCTAATTTTAATTTGACAAAAACGTAACTTTTTAAAGTTTATCAGGAAAAGATACAATGTATATAGATAGAATAATGTTAAATTTTCTCAAGATAATTAATGGAGAAAGAAAAAAAGTATGGTTTAATAAGTAAAGAAAAAAATAGAACGAACAATCCAGAACTACATATAGTTGTCAAACAGTAAATTGCATTGGCATTATTGCCGTCAACTGACATATATTTAACGTTTACAATCATTGAAACCGAGTGTGAAAGACAATTTGGTGGTCTTTTCGATGACTTCCTCAAATATTTTTTAACTCAGTGGATCAAAAAGACTCGTCCACAGAGATTTTGAGTGTACAAATTTGAGGACGACCGAACGAACAACTCATCAAGTCTTACCATAGAACAGTAAATGGTTCAATTACATACATTTAGAGCTTTATTCATTAACTAGGAAAATATCAAAATTTAGTTTATACAATTTCACTGATACCAACTGGTGAAGCCGTATCATTGTATTACCAGTTTCTAGCATCGCTGTTATACATAAAGTATCTTTATTAAGAAGTTTAGTTATGGACCAAAAATACAAAAGCTCAACTCTGTAGAGATCAAATCTTACCATCGCTTTAAAGATGTTTTTGGTGTCCACGCTTATGCATTTTACGCAAGTCCACGCATAGACTTATTTTCACAGAGATTGTGCTAAAAGACTTGAAAGTAAGTGCATCGATAGGATCTAAATCCTTGGTTTTCTATATTTTTTGAGTAAGATAACTTAAATGTGTTAAATGTTTAACGGAACAGATAATACGTTTATGAATGTTTTCATTTATACTTCATATAATCAACCTTTAATAAATTTTCAATAAAATAATATATGCTTCTTCCAACCGAATGAAATTTTCTAAATTAAGTATAATTTCATATTTTAACAAAATTATAAATAAATTGAACTTAATAGTCCTCACACTTATATTAAATAGTAATTTTATTTTACTAAATCTGAGGTTGATTAGAGTACAATTTTAAAACATTTTTACAAAACTATTATTTTACTTTTATAGAATTACATCTTCGATTAAATTAAACTATTTTTGCTGTTGATATAACATAAAAAACCGTTCTATGAACATAAAAATAGTTTTTTTTAATTGATCTGAGATATACTGTAAAAGTAATCATCATTCTAGTCAACTGATTGTTCGTTTTATTCAAATTGTATATAATATTTTATCTAGTTCACTATTTTCTTTGCATGAATACTTAAAAACAACCTGAGATAAATCGATTTTTGTTTTATAATAATTGCGAAGATAGTTTCTGTTAATTAAGTAAATATTTCTTTCAACATTAAAATTTACTTCATTCAATAAAATTTTCAGTCCACTGAAAATACATACTTTCAATCACCTAAAAATTCAATTTAAGTGAAACTTAAGTGAAGTTATATAAAATAAGACCTATAATTATCTCAACAGCATTAATGTCTTTAAACTAATTTTTATTTTTGCTACATTAAATTATCTTTTCGATTGTGTCAAGAACTATAGACTTGGCTCTAACTAATCAGTCTCTTCACTCAAGAAACTTTCATTTAGAATAAACAAAATTGTCAAATGTACAGCGCAGTAGACTCAAGTAGTTTGCGCATTTGGCTGTATTCAAACGTACGGAGTACTTGAGCCAAACGAATCTGGTTTGTCATCAGGAATTATTTTTTACAGTGTGGTTAACTATGGTGGCTCATCTTATTTACAAAAATATTTTTCGAATGAAATTTTAAGAATTAACAGCAATTTTTGAAGTGATTAAAATTAACCGAAAAAAATATTTATTTGTAAAAAAATTGATGACTTGGTCCAATTTTTAAAATACTTCATGAGTATTTATGATTTGAAAAAATTGACAAATATTTCAGTGAAAAAGTATATGGTTATTATATTTCATATTTGGCATTCTATGTGATTTTAATTATTTTTGGTATCCAAACATTCCAATAGTCTATCACATATGAATGTTGTTCTATTAGAGTCACTTAGGACGTGGACTTGGCGCAAAGTTTTACCGACATCTGGTGAAGTCGGTTTTGGTAGGATATGTAATTAACTTTTAATTGTTCAGTTATTAGTTAAATTAATTATAAAATGAATTTGTATGAGTTTTATTCATGTTCTAGAAAGCAGAAGTTCGATTAATTGAAGGTGAAGATATTCATAAAAGTATACGTCAAGTTTTAAGTCTTCATTCAACCGACGAATTTTGTGTCTTGTTATTATAGACAGGACAGAAAAGAACAATCGGCGTCGGAAAACTGAAATTTATCAAAATAATTAAAGTTACATAAATAAGAAATTATTTAGAATTTCTAGTCTGTATACAGTGCAATTATTTTTTTTCTGAAATTTATGATCCATATCATACACTTTTTTATTCTTAACTAATATCTTTATTATTGTAACAAACCATATCTTCATATTGAAGAAAGCTAACGCAGGAGACTAATTTATATATTTAATATTTTTTTGTTTCTGTACATAGGATCTGTTATAGTAAACAACAGATTAAATATTTATTTATCTCCATTTGGCTTAATAAAACAATATTTAAAAAATTAAACCCTATCCCATGTAATTTTTAGGTTACTATTGTTGTTGAAGCGAGTTCTTTGATAACTTATAAAAATGAGCTCCTGAAGAGCTCTTTTTCCTGAACTTCAATTCTCCTCCCCATTCGGCGCATAAGAGTACTTTTTGAGATCGTAGGGAGCTTTCGAGACAGCTGTTTCTGAGTTCCCAGTTAACACTGAATATAACACAAAGGTAACAATATGTAACAAGTTATATAACGAAAAGTTACATACATGTTATATAACTGTAATATATTGTAAAATAAGAACAAATAACAACTTTGGAAAATTAATAAATAAAGAAAAATGTTTATTGAAGATGGACAGCAATTAATTAAAATTAAAGAATCCGTGCGGTCAACTCAAATCTCAGTCAAAAACTGGAGATAAACAAACCTTCCCCTCGTTGCTATAAACAATCTAATCGATAAGCAATCGTCGTTAGTCTAATAATCATTAGATGGCGACATACAAATATTTTACAATATTGTCAAAGTAACAAGTTTATATTGCAGATGTCACACCCATGTGACGTTGTAGCTATATAACGTAGTAGAGGATCAGGTCAGGGGTTGTCAATTTGCTTTGCATATTGACACATTGACTATACAACGTAGTTATCTCGTGGCAATATAATTAGCGTTACATGCATGTTTGTATCCATGTTATATAACACTGTTATACTATGAAATGTCTCCTGGCGAAAGGGTTTTATTTCCGCGCCAGGAGAAAGAGAGAAATATATAGATGAGTTGGGGAAAAGGATGGAAGATGTCTGAGGGAGACAATGTATAGTTAGAATTCTCGTACGGGGAATAAGGGGATTCCTGGATATTGTAGAAATTAGGAAGGATCTCTAGGGAATAGGGATAGTTATTTTAGGGGATGAGGAATGCACTAGGAAGCGCGGGAAAGGTGGTACGAGGTCTCTCTCTGTCCTCCTTTGTCCTTGTTCATCTGTCTCTGTCACTTCTAAGAAGTTCTCGCCAGGTTCGAGAGCTTATGAATTTTGATTAGGTATAGCTCGGGTATTCCAAGGTCTTGGCGGGACAAAAAGTCAATTATATTTTTAGGAATGTAATTTTTCTGCGTGTTATCGTGTGTATGGTAATGCGTGTTCTCACCTACCTTTATCTCCCTCGGTGGTAGAGTCGTTGTAATTGAGGAGAGACGACGATGAGCGAGAAGATAGGAAAGCAATGATTTTAATTGAATTTACTTATTAATTGATTTTTATAATGAAGTTAATATTAATCAAATGAAATATATTTTAATTAATCAAAGTAATAAAATAGCAAGAAGCGACGATGAAAACTAACGCAGCGTCGGCGTGTAATACCGATCCGTCGGCTCGCGATGTTTATGGAAAAGAATGTACACTGTTTCCAGTATTCCTTAGCCGTCCGTTAATACCTGTAAATATGCATGCAAAGTGGGCAGGAGGATGTTATTCCTTGGGAATTGTCTTCCACGTGAAGTAATATTAACAATCTGTTTATTTATTGTTTTTATACAACTACGCAGGATTCTACCAATCCGTGACCTGAAGCGGACCTGCTTTCGCATGAATTACAGAATATTCAACTTAACAGTCTAATTGAGATTGTAATAATTAATTATGAACAATTAAAATGAATTATTATGATCGTACAAATCTCCGGAATACTAGCCGGGCACGAGAGGAACAAAAGGTCAACAGTTGCCAGAAGGGCCAAGTGATATCATTAACAATTATAATAATATATTACAATTAATTGTGGCGCAGCTCGCCCTATGCCCTTGTAGAAGGTACAGAAATGATGTACGAGCTCACCGTGATGATATCAAACGGGGTAATCCTGGGATGCCGCAGTGATTCCTTCCGTCGGATGATGGTACCCTTGGGGCGTCCTTCGACTGCTTTCCTCTGGTTCTCAGCGGCTGCAGCGTGTTTGGCGACTCTCTCGGTGAAGGAGGTTGTGCGGGAGACTGCCTGGCGTCTCAACCTGATTGTCCGTCCAACTCGTCCACCTAGATTCAGCTACGATGCTTTCGGTGATCGAACTGAGCGCGTAATACGATTCACCGTTTCTCGGGAACAATGTACTGATTAAGCGAACTTCTACGTTACTACACGACTAACGGCGTGCGCGGTTTCTTACTGGCTTGTCGCTAACTGACCAAGACTGATCAAGAATTGATCAAAGACTGATCACTGACTGATTGCTTCCGCGTCGTGCGTCGAGGTCTATAGCCCTGTTTTGGCGGGATCCCCCACCATACGTTGACTCCGCCTCTTTGCTCGACTGAAGCGCTGCTCTGCTGGATATTGTTGGAAGTTGACCGTCAATCGACCTTGGCTGGTAAAACAGGCCTCTGGTGTGCCGGTCATAGGTGTCGTGTACATTGGCGATACATGGCATGATCGCCGTATCGAATAGATGGCCTAGTTATAGGACAGATGGCGTTGTTGCTGAAACAGTGAACGTTTTTCCTCCCCGAGAGGGCGACATGAGTTTTGCTGTTCCGAGAGTTTGTTCCGTCCGGCATGGATGGCGCCACTTGTCCGAAATGGACAATGATCTCACTTATCTTGTGACAACTAGTAGTATATATTTTTTGTTATTTAATGTTATGTTTCTATGATATAACACTGTAATCTCTATGTTACATTATATTTGTTATGCAACTGTTATTTAAATGTTACGTAACATATTTTTACTAATTTTAGGTAACATTTGTTGCATACGCGCAATGTTCTTCTAATGTAACATCGCCACATCGATGTTACATACGTTCTTTGTATTGACGGCATATTCTACAGATGTAACATTACAAAATTCTGGCTATAGTTGTTTTTTTTTTCAATGTGTAGATAAATTGAGATTGATAGCCGATCAGGGTAAATGTTTCTAAGCTATAAGGATATTTTACAGTTCAAAAACTATTTGTGTACCTGAATTGTCAGAGAATTTCTCGATCACTTTATTATTGGCTATGTGTATTTAATACTCAGAAAATAAGGATTTTTTTATCAATTTGTTTAACCTAAAACATTTACAAATTGTTTTGTAATCTCAAAAATGAATAAATCTTAATTAGAAATAGAAAGAAGACATTATATATAATAATTATTACATAATAACTGAAATGAACTAAATAATTTACACAATTATTCTTATTTTTCTATATATTTATAGATGTAACTAAAATATATGTTTATATGGTCCTATTTTCAATTTGGGAATTAAGTATCAGAATAGCCTAGTGGGTAAAAACGTACAGTACCGGACATAAATGCTGTTCAATTTTTAAGAGTTATACAGGCGATTTCCCTATACCGTCCTATAGAAAATCACACAGCATTTATGTCCGGTACTGTAGGTTTAAGATTGTTTAGAAGTAAATCACATTTAATGAGAAATCATTGAAATTAATACTATAGGTAGTCGACTATTTCAGTCATGTCTCAGTAAAATTTCAAGTCGATTGGGAGCTTAGTAACGGAGTAAAAAAATCGTAAAATTGCGTCGTTTTAACCGCTTAACTACAGAGTAAATGGAAAGATTTTGTCGTCATCGCAATCAATTCGCGATAGCTCTTTTCGTAAAAAATGAACTTTTCATAAAAAACTAGCCACGCACTCTTCGAAATATTCTGCGTCGATCAATACCAAAATTATCAGCATTCGGAGATTTTTAAGCAAAATATTTTATAATAAAGTTTGAAAATCACGTCAAAATTTACTCCGAGTTTTTTTATCATACATTCGTTTAAATCAAAAAATTTTATTTTAATAAAATAATATTATATAATAATATATGTAATAATAACATAATATTATCAAATAAAATCGCATAAATATTTAATTACATAAAACTATATGTATTATCAAATATCTATATTTTCTGTATTTTCTACATTTATCACATTTACAATACTTGTCAAAAAATAAATTATATTATTTATAGTTCTTGAATCTTTGGTCACATTAGGACTGCCATTGACCAATTTTGCCAAAAGCGTCGTAACACCTGGTTCGCCTTTATCAATGAATATTTCTATTAAGCTATCATACGTAATAGAAGCCTCTATCAATTTATTACAAATCTTTTTTGAAATTACTTTGTGTAATGGACCTAGTGTTGTTGTTGCCAGCATTGCATTATGTTTTTTTTTCTCGGTCGAGCAAAAATTCTTGGATGCTCTGTTTTTTCTCAATAAAAGTATCATCACTTATCTTGAAATATTTGACTAGCTTCTCCAATATTTGTACATCCTCAATAGCATTGTGTGCTTCATCTGTAGACACATCATTTAGAAATTCTTTGGCTAATTCGACTTGACTTGTTTGGGTACGCCTGTTCAATAAACTGCGAAAAATTGGAAGCGTGTCGCTAAAACCAATTACAAACTTTTGAAAGGTAGGTATCATGCCTGTCTCAGCCATTGCTCTGATGAGACAAGGCTTATCAAAATTACAATTATGTGCGACAAGTAGGCAAGGTTTACCGAAAGAACCAAGAAAATGATGAAATTCGGACATCACACAATTTAGTGGTAACGTTTCCAATCTTTTGCCATGATAAAATAATTCACCACAACTACCTGTAAGACCGTGAACCTCACTGGCTTTAGGATTAATATCAGTTGTAGGAGTCACATATTTATTGAAATATGAAGTATTGCAGCCTGCCGCGATTTGCAGAATTCCAGCAGTACTCCCGAACCCTGTTGTTTCTAGATCAAAAAAATAATTTTTGTAGGTTCATTAGTTATTGAAATTAGATTGTTGTTATCCTGGTGTTCTTGTAATGGCTTAATCGTATCGCTAGTAGCAGATTGATTCAATAGACCCATACCGGATTCATATGTTGGACCTTCTACTCTTTCTTTCTTTTTCCTTAAAATCGTTCGATATTTTTTTAAAATATTTCGTCGGGCTTTGAAAGCAACTGTTGCTATTTTTTGTTTACGATTTCGCGCGAGTGTTTCTCGTCCATTAATATATGCATTCATATGAAAACCGGGTGTCAAATTTAATTTTAGTAATATTTCATTTATGCATCGATTACCAACATTTTTATTAGCAATTGCAAGGGCAACACGATGATGAAGAGAATCTGTCAAATCATAAAATCGCGATTTGGGAGCTCTGCTCACAATCATGGCATATCAGTTGTCGTTCGGCTGACTCGAGCTTGCAGTGACGAATTTTTCAACGTTTTCTGCTAATTTGTTGAAAAATTGAGACAAATCTTTATATAACGCCAAACTCTTCAGACCTCCAGGTATCGTCGAATGTTTATAATTTTCTTTATCTCTCTCAAAATTGCACCAGCTTCCGCAGTGGTCATGTTTGTTAAAAGAGTGATCAACTATTTGTTTTATTGTCTCTTTCATTGCATTTTTATTATTTTTATTTTGCGCAACGGCGTATGTAAAACATCTGTGCAGGTGAATGATGGCATTTTTCTTGAGTTCCGGATGATTTTTATTCATAGACCATAACGCTTTTTTAATATTCTTGAAAGAGTGATTAGCATCAGAAAATTTAATAACTTGATGATGGGATTCCTGGCGTACTACAGAGATGATTGAGCTATCATCATCCCCAACGAGAATTCCGATTTCAATTTTGGCTTCCTTAAGAATGGTGCTATGAGCAACTAAGTCTGCTGCAAGAGCTGGCTCCATGCTCTTTGCACTTCCTATACATTTTTTTCCACATTTATGGTCGCTGCAGGGATGCCCCGCATCACATTTCTTGCACTTCCGATTTTTAGTGTCAAAATCGAGAATTTTGCCGCTTTGAACGCCAATGAGAGCTCCGTAGCCGCTAAGACTATTATAATCTCTTCCTGTTCCTCGAGTAGGCCACCCCATATCGTATGATGCCGAAACACGAACAGTCCAACTGCTAGGAATAGCGGTTAAATCACTAGACAATATTTTCTTTACTTGATCGTCAGTTACATCAGGTATAACGAAATCTTCAGGAAAGTCATCGGTGCCAGACTCAATAGCAGACAATATTATCTTCACCTGATTCTCTGTCAAATTAGGCAACAGAAAATTATCCGGTGTTCCTTCTGGCCTTTTAATGAAAAATTATCAAATAATAATCATGAAAAAAAGAAACGGATGGAAATATTTTTGGAAATCAAGGATATGTTGGGTCATGAAATTCGGGGCTTTCAAAGAATTCTCATTTCAATCAAATTTATTGCTGTTTATTTTATTATGTTATACATAGCCTCATATCGAGACAGTAATAAATAAAATTAAAATTATGTTAAATTAATTGTAAAATTTTTTTTTTTTTTAATTTGTAAAAAAATTGCTTTATCGAATCAGACTTTTGTCGAAGTAATAAAACCATTTGTTAAATAATTTAAAAGAATTATGAACGAATTGTGAATGATTGGGTAGACAAATTTTTTCTTTATTTCATTTTGCATCGTAACCAAGCCGAGAACTACTATTCAACTAAGCAATATACTTTATTAAATAAATAAAATGTTGAAATCGTATTTTCATATATGAATCAATGAAATTATGATTACTACAATAAAAAGCACTAAAATAAAAATCAAAAAGTCATAATTGATGATACGAAGCACCTATAAAGCAATAAAAAACGGAAAACGGAAAAAAACCTACAAGGATTTTTTTATGGATAGGAAGTTTTCGAGGGTCAAACGTCTTTCTGAAGCGGCAGCTGCTTTACAACTTGTTTCCGCAACCTGGATCACAGCTTCTCCAACCAGCTCTTCATGCGTTTTGAGCAAGTGATTATTAAACGATGGCATATCCGAAACTCCTAATAATTTATTGAGATGTGTCCAACCCATACCAGCATCGATAAGTTCTAAAATAATATGAAACTTCCAGTTTTAAAAAATTTATTTTATTCATTTTAAAAAGACTTACCTAGTATGATTCGTGCATTAATTTCATACATTGTTTTGCCATTTTGGGCCGTAAATGTTTTGTCCGTGGTGATTGAATTTTCAAGCAAACATTCTTGACAGCGGATTATCATGAGTGAAGCTAGCCCATGCCGATTTTCCTCAATGATATTCGCTAAAGACAAGATCTGTTAACATCCTTTGCATCGGTCATTCTCAACTCATAAATCTAAATCAATTATTCTGCGTCCAAATATCATTTTCTGTTTTTTAGAAAGAACTTCAGATTTAGATTGAAAATGCTCGCTGGTTGATTTTTTTCGTTTCCGAACATTATGTTGTTTTAGTCGCAGATTGTACACAGCTTCTGCTACACATTTATTTTTCCACTTAAAACGCTTTTTTTGACATCCCAGTGGGAAATTATAGTAATGGGTCCGATTTTGCGAATCGCTAATTTTGACATATCTTCACGTTTTTTTAAGGTCCCCAGAGTTGAATACGATAGTTTTTACGTGGACGTCTGTGTGTGTGTATGTATGTATGTGCGTATGTTCGTACGTGCGTTCGGAATTATTTTTCGCCTCGAATATCTCGAGAACAAAGAATGATATTGACGTAGGACCAACTGCATTCGACGCGTAATTACGTAACTTAGAACTGATTAGATTTTCAGCGAAATCGGTCCAGCCATTTTTTATGCAGAATCAAAAAACTGAAAAAATAGTGAACTACCTAAATTCTGCAATTTATAAATTATACCATTTTTTAGACAGAATTTCGAGATCTTTTGAAAATATGAATATCAAATGTTTAGAATAATTGTACAAAAATATAATGACGGTATTTCATAAAAAAAAGATTTTTAAAAAACGAAATCAGCAATAAAGAAATTTTAAACTTGTGTTGGGATGGAGAAAATAGCGTTGAGGATAATAAAATAGTCAATGATTATTGTTAATAATAAAAAATTGTGTTCATAACGATTGAACATTGTTAATAACAAATGATTATCGATCGTAATAATATTTGAATAAAAAATTTTTTAATTGTTATGAACAATAAAAATAGCGATCTATGCAATATATTTGAATTCTTCCAACGCGTAATTTTTTCTTTTGCTAAAAAAAAGTTACCAACCGTACGACATGAATGGAAACTCATTCTTTTTGTTTATAACAATTGAATCTGTTATAAACAACAAAAATAGAGATCTATGCAATATATTTGAATTCTTCCAACGCGTAATTTTTTCTTTTGCTAAAAAAAAGTTAATAATAAATAAATTCAAAAGCCTATTGTAGAATGAATCGACAGTTTTTACGTGGACATCTGTGTGTGTGTGTGTATGTACGTATGTGCGTACATGCACACATATGCCTCGATTATCTCGAGAACAATAAATGATATCGATGTGGGACCAATTGCATTCGACGCGTATTACGTAACTTAGAACTGAAAAAGTTTCCAGGAAAATCGGTGAAGCCATTTTTTTTGAAGAATCAAAAAACTGGAAAAAAAGGAAATTACTCGAATTTTGCAATTTATAAATTATACCATTTTTTAGACAAAATTTTAAGATCATTGCAGAAATATGAATATCAAATGATTGGAATACTTGTATGGATATATGATGACAATATTTCATCGAAAAACAAAAATTTAAAAAACAATATCAGCAATGAAAGAATTTTAAACTCGTGTCAGGATTGAGAAAACAGCATTAAAGACGCTATAATAGTCAATAATAATTGTCAATAATGTGGAATTGTGTTCATAACAATTAAACATTGTTACCAACAAGTGATTATTGATCATAGTAATATTTAAATAATAAGTTTTAAATTGTTATAAACAATAAAAATAGGGACCCTTTCTATATATATGAGTACTTTGAACGCATAATTTTTTCGTTTACTAAAAAAATGTTACCAACCGTATGCCATAAATGAAAACATACTTTTTTCGTGTATAACAATGAAATTCGTTGTAGATAATGAAAAAAAAGATCTATGAGGTACATTCGAATTCTTCTAACGCACAATTTTTTCTTTTACTGAAATAAAGTAACTAACCATATGTTCTGACTTCAAGTCGGCCGGACGAGCAAACTAAAAACTAGTGGACTGTAATAATTAAGAGCAGAATAAAGAAAAAGGTTGGATGCTAGAAGGTTGCTTAAAAAATAGTTTATTAACACCAAAACTGTATGGTTTTTTCACTTTTATTAACAATTAACAATTACTAGTACAAGAGAGAGCACTAATCACTAAGTTTCATTGAGTTGTCCGTAATTCAACTATTTTTTTTCACTTGAAGATTGTTTGCTGTTAATGTTTCACCAAAAAACCGTCTCAAAACAGTGAATAGCAACATTCACGGTATACACCAGAGTTGTTCGGGTGTGCGATGTATATGTGAATGTCCGTGAGGCTCTATGGCGTCTACGCCAGTTCAGCTTCGCGCCCAAAGACACTACAACTGACTATACTGGACCACTAGCACTGATGAGAGTAACTTTGATGGTTCAATAATGTTCACGAGAGTTGACTGTGTATGATTGAGATTCTTTGTTCTCAAAAAAAAGGTGAGCTGACTGCAAAACTGCGAATTGACTGCGTAATTTTCTACAGAGTTGACCGCGTGATTTGCCTGGAGCTAACTGACGCCACAAGTGCTCGACCGCGTGCTTGTTGGCGTCGCTAGGGTCGTAGAGTTGCCTTCTGAGCCATGAGGAAAATACTTCCCGATGATTGGTCCAGTGAGTTGACTGACGCGCCGGTGGACAAGTCCGGCATTAACAATTTTTGAAAATTTCCCGACACACTGACTTGGGCCCCTCCAAGTCAGAACACCATATCAAATGAATAAAAACAGGCTCATTTCGTTTATAACAATTCCATTTGTTATATAAAATGGAAACGGGTTCTATTCAAATTGTTTTTTTATTTTTTCCACTGGGAAGTTGGTCGTGTGGACCTTTCGGGTCGCACCCAGATCACTGCAGAGCACTGATATTTTTATATTATTTTTACCATTATTATCACTTTTTTTCGCTTCCAATTTTGTTCTTTTACTATTTATTTTTTCATTTCTATCAGGATTCATAGTTTTAAAAATATAATACCCAACAAGATATTTGTTTACAAAATAACTGTGTGAGGTTATGTTATTTTTCTCACGAATGTCGAGTATACCATACTGAACACGGGTACCTAGAGAGCCCAAACAAGCCCGCAACGTTGCCGCGAATTTTCT